ATTCATCTTTGAACCTCCTATACTTATCCACTAGCTTCGTTTTTAATTGTGAATTTTTTGGCATATAGTAATTTCAAAGAAGCTTTGCTTACAACGAGGTTGGAGACATGTTTCTGCACGAGGGATTATAAGAAAGCAATGACCTTTCGATCCTACAAAAAGCGAGAATGCATATTCTTTTGTCAGGGAATCAAGATTCAAACTTTCAATGATTGTTTAGTGATAAAGATTATGGTACTGTCTACGATAATACCCATGCACCACGCAGGATTCTCTCAAAGGCAGCACAAAAATCCATGGCGTCGGCCATTCCTCTTAATATATTTGCATGCAATATTAAAATTTTGCTCCGCATTTATAAGTATATTTGTTCCTTTTTCCAGTTGGGCAAATGGGATCCTGCCATATTGGCTGCTCCTGTCCCTAGCTTGGGATGCAATTAAAATTTTGCTTGATCGAAAGGGTCCCAGATGCTCGAAAATATCATACAGATAAGGCCAAAATCTCTTTCTTTCGTTCTCTCTGTGTGAGTGTCTCTCTCTCTCTCTAATAATTTTGTGGAACCAAAATAATTTAAGGGGTGCTGTCGTTGAGGCTGTAAAGCAGTCATGCAATGCAATATTAATCCTGCATTCATGAAATTAAGCCATAGAGGATTGGTGGGATTTGTTTCTGGAGGCAAATTGATCGGTGGGTTTGAATTGATTGACCCGATACCATACTCATCGTTAAAAGCAAACCCCTCATGTAGCAGATAACTATGAAGGATAACATGGATAACATGATGCCAGATTCTGGGATAAGATGTCAGTTTCGATTGCCAGTCATATGCCATGAGAACTGGATAAGCTATGGATTCGGATTATATATGTTTCCCGCAACCTTTTTTTATTAACTAATACATATTTAACAATCATACACATAAGAGATGCATAAGATGAGATCCGCATGAAATTCAAATATAAATTCGAGAACATTTACCAATTATATTAAGGGAAACTGGCATGAATAACGACAAAGCAAAATGCAGACCAAAGGAGAAATTTTTTGAGGCCCATAAATAATCACATAGCCAGAACCCTTACGATTCATAAAAGGAGGGTACAAACCCTTTAGGTAGATTGACGCCCACTAGTTTTTCAAAAACAAAAAGACTGAGGCCCACTCTACTAATATTTATATGTTTATCTAGTACAGTAATTATTCACCCTCTGGGCTCCACCAAATAATGAACGAAAATAGATTTAGATGGTGTCGGTATCTATGAAAAGAAAAAAACTAATATGCATTTAAAAATTTTTGAGAAATTTTGATTAGCAATTAATTTATTAATTTATATATTGTGCGAAAAATTTGATGATCACTCTATCTCTATCGTTATTTAGAGGGTAAAATATATCTTGAATTATATTGAGAGTATGAAATGTAAAATTTAAGATTTCTCCTTTAATCATATTATTACAGAAACAAATTGTATAGTAGATGGGTAGGCAAAGACGAGAATTACTCGAGTTATTTTTGGTAACGTCTTTCTTCACTAGCTTTATCATGGCTGCTCTTTGATTATAATTCTTACTTGACCCACGTTAATAAGATGCTTGTGCCTTAAAAGGAAGAAAAGTGAAAGGTCAAAAGGTAGGTAGGAGAGCTAGTACGAACGAGAATCAGGGACTCTAGCTAATACTAGTAGCTGCCACTGGCTGATACAAAGGGGAAATGGGGCGGTGCACAAATTTGTCCTTAATCTTGTAGATACAGCCAGACAGCCCCCAGCGGGAATAATGTGCATTTCCAAGGATTGTCCTTCTTCTTCTTCACTTGATCAGTATTCAGTACGCCTGGTCATCCTGTTTCTTTTCTCCTTTCCTACTAATCCATCTGTTTTGTAGGGACATCCGTAAAAGCTTACTCACAGGTAGAGCCACAGGTGTACCCAGTTACGGGATGGTCGAGAGATCTTGCCCAAGATCTTCTTTGGATTGGAATCAAGGCTTTCATACTTGGACTGGATACCAGGACCCCATAATCCAAACGCCAGCTCATTCTCTCTGACTCAGATCCCGTTTTTTCGGTTACAAAGTCATTCATGTTTTTATACCAACCCAAGCACCCTTGTTTTTTTCTTTACACGTCTTAAATCAAAGACAGATGAGTTCCATTAGAAAGTGTAGTTGCTCATTTTCCATCTTGATTATTGGAACATTGGAGAACTATTATACAACACCATCATAGCAATCCCATGTTTGGCTGATGGCAAGAATGCGCTTCTTCTTCTTCTTCTTTTTTCCTTTCTTTTTTATCCTTTTCTTTTGATTTATTCCTTGGAAGAAAATACAAATAATTATGAAATGAAATTGTCAGCCCGATCGGCTAATTCAGTTGAAGGGAGCTAGAATAAATGAACTATGGAGAGATTACGTTACACAAACAATTCCCACACTAGAGAATGTTACAGAAAAATTTAGGCTCTGACCTATCCATTATCTACTGACTGAAAGATCAAATTCTTCACATAGATGTCTCTTGGGACGACCATGTGAATATTGGTCTGCGATCTTTGCCAACAGATAGAATGAATGGCAATCAGAAATCAAAGCTACTTAAAACTCTTCATTTCTCAATTTTGCTCCATGATTGTCTCCAATGTTTGTCCATTCTACATGAACAGCCAATTTACGCATAGTCAGTTCTCAATCACAAACCAAACAATTGTAGCAAAGAATGGTACCTATAACATGAATCATAAAAATACAGTAGAAAAAATTACCCAGATCAAATTTTTTTTATCCCTTCTCGTTTTGCCTTCAATTAAGAAAAAATTACCAAGGGCTTCCACCCCACACATATGTAACACAGAAGCATCATAATATCGTGTCAATTCCATCAGGGTAGTTTTCAATTTAATGCAATTTGTCACCTAAAATTGAAGTCACCGTCGTTCAGTGGAATCAACAAGTTCTTCGTTGAATTCACCAAATATATTTGGACATCCATCCCATTTCCCCTGTTCTCTTGCTTCCCAATAACCGCCCACATAGCGGAAGGATCCATTTTCACCTTCTTTCTCGAACCATCTAGGATTCCACCCATTTTCTTGTAGTTTCCTTGACTGTGCAGGACCAGAGGCAGATTGAAGATCAGCAGTACAAGACAACAATCTAAACCAGACCCTACCTAGAAATAGAAATTTTTTGCCAACATGTCTTAACCAAGAATAGGGTCCAACAGTTTCCTATACCAGCAATATATTCAAGTCTTTGTAACTGAATAGTTTATGGCAAACTTTGTTTGTATGCAGCATTTAAATAGTTTATGACAGAATTTTGTCAGCAAATGAATGCATGAGCATAGATACATGGAAAACATACCATTCTCTGCCTCCTTTCCAACCGCTGTTTCTCTGCATTTGCTCTCTCATATTCCCCATTTTCCAAATGTCGTTGGTCTGGTCTAAGCCTGGAATCCGTAGGTGGGAGCTTCTCCTTAATCCGTGATCAAATACCCGGGATCAGACAAAGCTATAGAAAACAATTAGATATGCATAAGAGAAAAATGAAAAGGCTTCTGAGAAACTGATGTAATACATCATCTCTACCTGCAATCCTGGTGTTAGCTCATTTAGTGTAATTGCAAATGACGTTAAGTTGTAGCGAGTCAAATTAGGAGGAGGCTTGTTCCTCTTCCATAGCAAGGACGAATTTGATGAAGGATTGCAGTCCTTTGGCTTGGCACTTCCATCACCGCTGACATAATACATGCTGTCATCCCATTTGCCAATTAATGTTGCAACCTTTTTACACGAAAGGTCTTCAACAAACCCATGGACCTAAGTCAATACAGGACAAGATCAATAATTACTACCAAAAATAACTCCTTCAAGACATAGATGGTAGACTAAAATGGGCAAGTAACAATCAAGCCAAGAAATTGCATAGATAATCCACTTTCTAGACTGGGAGAACAATAACTGCATTTGGCTGCTTAAAGAAACTTAAAGAGTTTTCAAATAATTACCTGGCGAGGGTTCCTGTCAAGAATAGACTGCTCCTTGAATTTGAGCTTGCATGAATATTCACGATTCCCACGAATTTGCATCAATCCATGGTGATCACAATACACTTTACCAAGGATAAGATTATAAATAGTTGTTGTTACCTGCCGAGAATGAAGTTGATTCCTATCATGCAAATAGAAATGAAAGTAGAATATTTAAAAACACCTAAGCACAAATCCAGTAAATATACAGTCCAGGAGTGCAACCTTGCTCCACTGAAATATTTCACCATCATCAAACTCAAGAGTCAGAACTCCAACAGGGTCAAGCTGAATTGACCGGCCCCAAAACTTTGTGCGGAGGTTGCTGTCACCCCAGAATTTCCATCCTTTACCTTCACAGTGACAGGCAATAAGGGTTGGGTGGTGACTAACCTGTTTCAACATGAAAGATAAGTCATCTATGCTTTGGAACTTCAATACAAATATTTGCACATTCGCATCCACATAAACATAAGCAACTATTTGGGAAGGTAAATACTCCAAGGTCCTAGAGAACTAGTATAATTCAAGTTTGCTTCTAAGTTCTCAAAAAACACTTTGCAAAGTCTCTATTCACTGTTTTGAGAACCTCAAACCAATTATTGTGTGAACACGAAAGTTTCCTTCCTAAAACTGTCCAGGGAATTCTCATTTTCCAGATCAATGGTTGCAAACGCATTATTCAAGAACCTTTCAAGAGCAATAATTTCGAAAATCTTGATTACACATAATAAAGAAGATGATGATGACAGTCCTTTCCTCCCTTTTTTTTACAAAAAAAATAAAAGAAAGAAAGATCCTAAGTTTTTTGTTTGAAAATCTTCGCTACTTCAAGCCAAGTCATTTTCTTCTCAAGGTTGTGCTATTTGATTTGTCAAAGGTTCTCAAAGTAAAACGTCAAGTTAACTATCTCCTAACTGCTGAAAGTCATATGCACTTGAGCTTATAAAATAAAAAAAAAAAAAGTTTCCTAATTTGTCGAATTAAGTTCAATAAAGGGCTGGACATCCCTTTACATGAAATCATCTGTATTGCTAGATCCTGAACACTAACCTTCTCAGAGAAGAAACGAACTCCTTTGTCAGGATAGTCAGCTTCATAAGTTTCTCCTAGTAAAGGATTGAAGGGCTTGCAGTGTCGGCCTTCAGAAGAAGCATACCCAGAAACAGCAAATGCAGCAACATTTAGAATCCGCTGGAGACTGTTCCCCTGACAATACGACAGAAAACTTGAATGGAGCATAGAATCAGATTGAACAGATATAAAGCAAGAGAATCTATTGATATTCATGAAACTTTTAGTAAGCATGACAACTAGTCCAAAACAAAGGGGTACCCTTGGAAGTTGAACTAACAAAACCAACCTCTAAAAGGGAACAAGGTTACAACATATATAAGTACGTATAAAAGGCATATAACTGCATCCATCTATAAACTAAAAGAACAGCTAGAAATTCAGCCCAACGGTAGGAAAGTAACCAAGGGGATAATCAACCTTTTCACACTGAGTTAATTTAAAAACACCTTTCTGTACTTGATAACTATTTTTTTACACTGAGACAAATAGTGCAATATATCAAGAGAAGAACAGAATATTAAAGATGATATGTGTAAATAACATACTTCTTTTCCATACTTGTATGCTCGGTCCAAAAGATAAGAATACTCTAGGTCCTCAAAGCATTTCTGAAGGGATGATATTGGTTCATTAAAGTAAACAGGCAGACAAACTCGAGTGAGATCCTTTCCCACATTGTCTTTGATCATAGACCAAAGGCTAACGCCTTTCTCTTTTTCAACTGGATCAGGAAGCTTTTTCCGTCTTTCAATTTGAGGATATCTGGAATCACAATCTCCTTTATCAGCATGCATCTTTTCCACATTATCAAATTGTTTTTCAGTTTCTTTCTGATTTTCTGCATGTTCAGCTGCCCCTCTTACAGATCCACAACTAACAGTGGGTTCGGTAAAATACTCTTTTGTGTCATGAAAGGAGGTTTCATCTTCATCAGACACTTCCTCAAGCTCTTGTTTCTCAATATCATCAGATGATTCAGTCGTGCTGCATTCTGACAACCCAAACAAGATGTCAAGTTATAAGATAATAGGGCAAGAAATTAGTAAACAGAAATAGAGCTAATGCTTAGATAATTACTCATTGCAACATTCCTCAACAACATTGCATTTAAGTTAAACAAAATGAGAATGGTGATGATGAAGGATAAGAAGACAGGAAATCGCCATTAAAACTTAGGATAATCAGCATATATTTTTTACTCAAGAAAGCACATCTCAAACCCTTTCACATAATTTTATCTGTGAAGTGCTACAATAGATATAACTATAGGTCTATCCAAAACGATAAATACTATCTTCCCTTGCCAACACAAAATTTAATTACAAGAAGCAAACACCTGCACGAGAAACTCATGCGTGAAGAAAGGCAGAGCCAAGGTTACAGATTGGTATGTACCACTATACTTTCCACGCCCAATACCAGAATATTCATGCTTCGTCAGTTGGAAATCGCCATCATGAATTCCAGAGGTTTCAGCTTCAATATTAGCTGCCTGCACATGCAAAAGGAAAACTTCTCAATGTACCATAAACAGTAAAGCTTAGAACAATAATGCATAGAATTAGTTACAAAGAAAATCATGAGATAATTGTAATTTCATAAATGAATCAATATTTTGAAAGATGAAATAACTAAAACCAATAAAATGAAGACAACATTTTACAAGATGAGATAATTGAATCACACCATTCAGAAATCCCAGCACTAGGACTGTTGGGGTTTTGTTGATCAGCTTGGGATTCCATTTCTAATTAGGACTTAAGGGAAGTTCCTACAATCCTTTTTCTTAGGAGGAAGATTAAAGTTGCAATAGAAATAATACTTATACCAATACAAAGCATTGGTATAACTATTGGTAATGAGAGCCAATCATTTCAATGCCACATAATGAACTAGCTTTCACACTAAAGTTCCTTGCAAGAAACAAGCCAGTGTGGAGAACTTCTCAACCTCTAAGTCTCAACCTCTAAGTCCCAAGCTCATATGATTTGCACTTTTGGCATTATATGCCACCAAGTTCTAGCTTTCGCCCATGAGTTGCCCCTCAAACCCATCACAAGTTTACAGCTATGACAACATTGTCTCAGTGTAGCTTGAAAATGTGAGGTTTGAAAGCCCAAAAGGTTTCCTATAGAAGCTGATTGAGTCTTCAACGCATTTGCTAGAGGCAAAATTTACAGCTGTGAGGGTGGGTGGGAATCAGATATAATGTGAATGTGAATACAGCTAGAAAGGCCAGCTATTCATTTCATGCAACCAGCAAAAAAACTGGATAACTTTGGTGGGATGCTTACTAGACAAAAGAAAATGTATAAAATTATGGACTCCCTGTGCTGAATGGTGAACCTAAAAAATGCATTACTGATGCTATAGCGATATCTAGTTCTAGGTACCACCATACAGCCTCTGTGTGTAGAATATATGGATTGAGTTAAATTTTCTAGGATGGATCAGTAACAACATAATACAAAATTGATTATAACTTTTAACAATTTACAAGAGACGTAAAAAACCTCAATCTCAATTATCAGGGGTTGGAGATGTGATGTTGGGACCACAAGAGAAACAATCTTAATATGAAATAAATGGAAACTAAACATAAAGTTTATAACCATACAAAATAGCATAAAATTATACTCCAAAAGTTCTAACCACATATACAACAATGAGAAACAATTGCAATAGCAGAACCATTTTTAATTCATTATTAAAGTAATTACCCTCCATTATCAGTTACTCATATAGCCTGGAGAAAACCCATAAGCAGTAATGCATCAAATAACAGAATACATTTGTTCTACTATTGACCAAAATCAATGCTATTCATTTCCATTGGCCTTCAACACAATTACGTGATAGTTTCCATCTTGTTACTGACGAAGATTATTGATAGTGTTTTTATTCAGCCGCCATACTCACATTTGTAAACAATAGCTGTTTTTCCCATAAAATAGATATCATTCACTTTAAATGCAAGGCTTCATCAGTTGGCCTAATCATCAAAATGAGCTTGTCTGAGACATGCCACTCTATTAATAGAAACCACAAAAAAAAAAAAAACAAAATGCTCTTTTAAAATTTAATTTCATTAGGTTGAACTCGACATTGGTCCAACAGAGGTCTCACTAAATTGATCATAACTCTAATTCAGAAGAAAAAAATCTATTTTAATTCACCAAATTATTTAAGTTCAAAAAATCTATGCAATAAATTTTATTAAAAGAAATTGAATCCCCAAGCTCAAGCACTTTCACTCAAAGGCACATATTAATTATTAAAAAGTTGACATTACCTCCAACTGCCTTAACGTATCAAGCAAATTAGATCTTTCTTCACAAAGAACTTTCAGTTGTCCTTGTATCTCCGAGAACTCTGAGAGCATAATCTGCTCGCAATCCTTCACAAGATTATCACTGATTCCCTCCTCATGCAACCGTTTCTTGAGCTTATCAGTTGATATAGACAAATCACGGGGTACAAGGGGGAGGTTATCATTTAGTGATCTCAGCGGAAAGAGGCTCCTGGTTGACACCAAAGCTTGGATCCAAGCAATCCGATCTCTCTTTGAATCAGTTCTCAAATGAAGGGTCTTTGTAGCAGTGAAAATGTAAAACCGTCTGTCATCAGATTTGCTCTCCCGGAATGACGAGATCTGCTAAAGGAATCCAATTAACAACCCCATAAGCTATACAAGAGTTCCAGTATTTGTGATATGGTCACATTGATCACCAAGAGTTTATATGCTTTCATTTCATGATCACATAAAATAAATTCACAGAATAAATGCATGAGTGAAACATATTTAAAAAGTCCATTTTCAGAAATAAAAAAGAATAAATGCTATCAGTTCAAGATAATGCAAGTTGAAAAGCTCAAAATTTAAGCCTTGCTTCCCTCGCCAAGATAGGAGCATTATTGCTGAAAACTTTCTAAAACGCCGGAAGAAAAACAAATATCTGTAACTTAGTCCACCGACCTTTAGGCTATCACGGTGTAACCTCAGCAGGAGCCAAAGCCATTTACCATCAGACAACTAGATAGTTACACACAATCACAAAACTTCTTAAGTTTCAAATGAGAGAAAATTGTTTTAGCAACGAATACATGAAAATCCTAGATGTACAAAACCAAACCCAAAATTCATCACCGAAGCCCCATGAGACCTTTCGAGGATTACAACTGTCTAGGGATAAAACAAAGACGAAGAATCACCATTTGGATCTACTCGTGCATAGGAGAATACACTTAAAACGACTCGAAAGAGATGTACTATTATATCCTTTCAATTTTCCCGTTTCTAAACAGTGTTCAACATAAAATGCTATACAACTGAACGGGCAAAGCCCCACCTACTAGTCTCAAGTCCCCACGCTTTCTTTTTACCCTTGTTTCTTTCACTTAAAAAAATCAAGCCAATGCCTAGAAACTACAAAAGACCATGTAAAAGATTAAAAACGAAACAAGAGATTACCTCTACAACGAGTCAAAGAATACAAAACTCAAAAAGGACGGCAACAAACAAAACCCACTCCGACATTTCAGAGAAATACTCCATCCCCGTCACCGTTCGATTACTATATCGTTTAATCATTTCTTTCCTTGAAAAAGAAAACTCTTCGGTCTTCACCTTGAGTGAAAAAACAGTATCTCGAGACACAGAACTAAAGCGGCTTGCAAGCAAAGGAATAGGCAAAAGTTGACGAGAAAGAAGAGAATCTGCTAAAAGTGCGGGAAGTGGAAAAAAAAAAAAAAGCCAAAAGATCGAGAGCAAAAGAAGAAAAAGGATCAGATGCAAGTTGTTGAATCGTCGTTGATGGCTTCAAAAACTTGAACCATCCATCGAACACCGATTAAACGACGATGTGACCACAACTTAATACCTAGACCTACAGCTTACCCTATCACAACCCTCCAAGCCCACCTGCTGATGTGACCCACTCTACATAAACAACCAGTTAAAACTGTAAAAATTAAAAGATAATATTTTTTTATACTTTTTTAACGTTAAACATGAAAATTGAAAATCACAAAACAAAACGGAAATAAAGAGAGAGAAAAAGAAAGCCCACAGAAAAGATTTTTGGGGGTCCTTTTTACAGATCACACAGTAAACTACATGACGAACAATGCCAGAAACCTACGGTTCTTGCTCTTCAATTTTTCCCCTATCCTTTCCCCTTCTTTTTCTGTTTTCTTGAGTTCAGATATCAATGCCTTTGTTTTCTGTGACAAATTTTTTATTTCCAGATGCAAAATTTAAGGGGCACTAAAATTAGTGCTATAAAATGACATAATTGGTAACACTTCAGTCAAATTTTTTTGAATCAAGATATTCTATATTCGGAACTCTCTATAAAAAAAATTATATTACCGCCAAAACGAATTGGTTTACTTTTTATTTTGGAGTTTTTGAAATTTGATTTTTTTTTAAATATACCTTTAAATGAACAATGCCAACGGTTTTCTGGTGTTTCCGTCTACCGCTACAACTGTCCATCCTCGAAAGACGATTGGTTGAGATATCACCGATCAATCTGACGTCATCAGTCGGAGAGAGGAGGTTTAGAGTCTCCGGACGGCGAATCTTCGAGTAAGATAACACTCCGTTACGAAGCAAAAACCACCTGGATCTCCATCCTTTGCCGTAATTAGTCCACTTGTAGAGAATTCCGGCAACAGTGCTTTCGGATCCTCCCGTCGTCAACCTCGACGCATTGCCTGTTTCAGATCCGGATAAACTCCCCGCTGGCATGCTCCTCGCTCGAGTCAAAGAAACCTCCGGTGACTGGTCGCCGATGCCGGGACTCTCCAAAGATATACAACACAGCGGATGCATTTCCTTCACCCGCATTTTTTTCCTCCGATCTCGATCACAACTAAAATTCCTCAAAAGAATAAATATTCATTCAAGTATTCACTTTTTCCATGGACAAAGAATAGAATCAGCAGCTGCAACAAACCAAAACGGTTACAACACCATATCAGAATATATATATATATATATCATTCTCCTGAAAGCGAAAACAAGAAAAATAAAGAAATTGTAATAAAATTTGTTTTAGGGTTCAAAGTAAGAGACATTTTTTTCGGTAGTCGTCGAGGAAGCCGGGTTGAGAGGTGAGCTTATTTTTTTGAGCTCTGAAACTGAGAGACTCGTAAAGGAAAGAGGAGGAGGGGATTACTAAAATAAGGAGCCTATTTATGTAATTTTCTTTAGCTTGAAACGATCGCAAAGTTAATAAAATAGTTTTTAATTATTCATACAAGAAAAAGGTTTTCCTTTTTTTCTTTTTCTTTTGTTTTTGGCTGAGAGAGCAATTAAGGATTGTGGCAGATTGGTAATTAAGTGGGGAAGGACTTTTTATCGGGACGGGAGATATCGGGTGGGAAATGTAAATCGGCAAAATATCGTTCATTTCTGGTGTTGAAGAGTACGGAAGGATTGTTGAATAAAAAAACTGTGAGTTGATGACGATTGACGAGAAGAAGCTGACTAGCTAAGAGGCATTTCCTGCGTAAACATGAATTTTATCCCTATTTTAAAAAAAAAAAAATTTTTTTTTAATTTCAACCTTTTCTGTTTAAACTTTTGTCGTCACGGTATTTTTGGTTGCGTGAACCCAAGTTTTGAGCTGACAAAAACTATGCAAAGCAAAAAATCCTGCTTCTTTGACTAAGTGGAACACGAATCAGAAACCCAAAACTTCACATTCCCTATTTTGGATTTGGCATTCCAAATTATTTCCAGCTATTTTCCATTGGGTGTAATCAAGTGATGGTTGGACAATTTCGCTAGACATAATGAAAATAGCTAGTAAGATTACAAAAGTACTTTGTACTATTTTATTTTTAAATCATTTTAAGATTTAGATAGCAGATGTCGACGGTGTTCCTTCCTTAGCTTTGCATTTTACTGCTATTAATAGTTTGTATGAAAGATTGGTCGGTCGGACACATAGTTCATTTTATCAAGTTCCTATATTCACCTTGAATTGTAGGTCAAAAATCTTTCTCCAAACTCAAATCTTGTATAACTTCATGGTGTGAACAAACACCTTTTTTTTTTCTCCTCAAAAGTGAATTATACTTCATTCCCAGTAATTGACAGGTTTTTCTAACAATAAACACATGCATTTTAATTTAATACTGGCCAAAGTGTAACAATTAAGAAGGGAAAGGTTACATTTACAAAAGATCCTCATTTATATGCTCCAAATCTTGGATAGCCTTTCCGAGGATATTTGCGGCACGAATCTATAAGAACATAGGGTAAAGAAACTAGTTAGATTTTATTACAACAGTGCCATTCCGTCATCATAAAGCAAGGTGCTGTGTAAGTATAAATAGGGAAACAGGCTGTTAGCCATAATTGTAGATTTGTAGTTTCCCAAGTAAAGAATTCAAACTGAAAAAAAAAAAAAATACTCTTCTCTTACGAATTATTTCACCTATGACAATATTGATAAATTATCCATCTACATCTCTTGTGAACATGAATTATTGATGTTATATAATATAAAAATGAAAATTCTCCTTATTAAATTCATTAAAACCTTATATTGAATTAGAATTCGAAAACCATAGATACTTGTTTATGTACATGTATTCAAATCAAGAGAATGTCCTCCTTTTTTGTTTTTTTACATTTCTTTTTTCTCTTTGCGGCATCAACCCGTCTAGTTATTGATTGGCCAGGAATGGAAATTATGTTAAGTAGGCAGGAAGTTCTCCTAATCTTCGTTCTATGAGGTTTCGAGTGTCTACTATATAGAGATTAGGAGCGAACCATAAATAAATTCTACGACCTAAAAGTGCGTTTCGATTTTCGAATTTGCTACATAGCCGATTAGTTGAATTAGCCTTTAAGGTACTTGCCGCCGACCTTGACCATTGAAAGAATGGCATTCGTCCTTAGGATGGTCGATCCCTTTCCATCTAAGCCGCCCAAAATTACATTATTTTCTGGAAATATAAGATCCTAACAGAGAGGAAACGTTCCTGCCCGAGTCTCAGCATCGTTCATATTGATCTATATTCCAAAGTTCTTATCTGGAATAGGGCGAAATAAAGAAATTGCTAAAGAAACTTGAAAGCAAGTTGTGATGGTTTTCTACCTGAAAACACGGTTATCTATTTTGTTTGCATGAGCTATACATTGAGCTGCATGTGGCCTAGTAAAGCAGTTGCAAGGGCAGAGGGAGGGGACCTCTGGAATTGGCGGTGGTCACGCATTTTTCAGCTCAAATAACTGCGGGGCGCACGACACGGTGCTGCACCTTCTTTACAAATCCAAGTTAAGCTACTTTTCTTTTTTTTTTTTTTTCTTTTTGACTCTTCAATGGAGTTTGGGGTGATCCAGTCATCCAGAATTTGAGGGAGTGGAAATAATTCTTAGAAACTCCTGTATCAAGGCAAAAAAACAATTCATATTAACCTCGATTTTTCAGTCTTGAAAGTGACAAATCAATGCCTACAATAAATCAATTGTAAAACATTTAAACTTACCAAAGACCGACCCAACTCAAAGGTATCTCTTTTATATATTTGACTATGAAAAGATATAATATTTAAATAAAATTTTAAATTATTTTAAAATATTTAAATATTTTTTTTTAAATTTAATTAATTTTTATATTTTTATTTTAAATCATATAAGTTGTTATAATTAATAATTAATTAATATTAATAAAAATATCACTTATCATTTTATATCCACATAACATTAATATATATTATGAAATATATCACATGATCATGTTATCATATCAAATTAAAATATTATGATTAATTATAATATATCAGTATATCACATAATCATCGATTATAATATTTTAACATATTACGTTAACATAACTTGACATAAAACTAAAAATAATATTTTAAATAAATCAATTAGTAGTTATAAAAATTTAATTATTTTATTAAAAATAAAAATATAAAAATTTATTTGATTTAAAATAACAATATAAAGTTTTGATTGAATTTAATAAAATGTAAAAATTTATTTAAACTTTTTTAAATAATTTAGAGACTTTTTTTGTATATTATCCCATATAAAAACTATTAATTGGTCAAATAATTATTTCTACAAAGTAATCCTTAACAAAACATAATAATAGAGAAGTGCAATAATGGATTTTACAATGCTTCCATTGTTGAAGAACGTGCATTTATGCTCTCCATATCATTTATTTTTCCCAAAAGTCCAAGTGAAATATATGTTTCAAAAAGTAGTTACAAGTGGTGGCCACACCTAATAAAAAAGAATCTCTAAGGATCAAACCATTTTAAAGAATGAAATGTTCTATATATAGTTAAATATATATTTTTTTGGGTCCAGATTTAGAAGAAGAAAGGTCAAACTAAACAAAGAACTGGCTGCCCTTTTTCCTTGAGCACGGGCTGATTTGCATTAAGTAATGAAAGTGATGCAACCGAAATTATTAGCGCTGATGGTGCAAAAGAAAAGAAGAGGGTGGTAAGAACAGTAGCAGAGAGGCGCATGGAACTGTGCAATACGGACCATGGGAAAGAGTGGACCGCCGGGGCAGTTAGTGGGGGCCGGGTCTGGCACGTGGTGGTGGCTGGCATCGCCTTCTGACACGTGTCAGTCAGCAACAAGAATAATGATGCCCTCTCTCTCAGCCCCGTAACTCATGTGCTCCGCTATTCCATTCTCCACGCTTCCCCTATTATGTTTTTTTTTTTCCCTTCTCCAGATCGACCTCTCACTTGGGCGCGTTCGGTCTAATAGTTTTGTCATTTTTAGAAGGAAAAGAGACAAAGTAAAAGTTACCACTACTAGCCCTTCCTAAAGATTTCATGCCATAGGAATTACAATTTGTTCTCTTAACTGTTAAAAGAGCAATAAAAAGATACAAAAATCAGTTTAAAAAGAATAGGGGAAATTGAGCCCTAAAATGTTGTGATATTTTTTTATGTATCACTATTTACAGTGGATTACTAGGTCTATTCTATTTTTTGCTTGTTTAATTTTACGTAATTTTCTTTCTTAATTTAAGAGTTAGTGCTTTTCACAACCTCAAGGACTTGTACTTAAATATATTTCCTTCATAAATATTAATTGGATTGTCAAATTTTACGACTCCAAGAATAACAATTATATATTATATAAAAGGAACACCTCCTAATAATCTACTTGCTTCCAATCTCAAACCTTAAAAACGGACTTAGACTACAAGCAATGTCCAATAGGAGGAGACGACCTCCATTTTTTTTATTACTACTATATGTAAATTGAATAAAAGAAATATGTAAATGAAATAAAGCCACATGCTTTCTTCAATAATTGGAAGGCACGACTAAGATTTGAACTTGGATTTTTTTCTTCTCCTTCAACTGGGTCGTTGGTCAATTTGATCATTTGAGGCCGTACGAACGAACCATTGGAACCAACCCTTGGTAAAACTTTTGGTTATATAGTTTGATTTGATATCCACAACTTCAGATGTTTAGTTTTTTCTGTTACAAATTAACTTCAAAAGCTGAAGTGCTTTAATATTTGAACTTAAGAGTGCAATTCAGAAATCTTGGGGTTAAATTCTATGATTAAGATAATAAGCTTGATGAAAAATGAAAAAACAAATAGTATTTCCAATTAAATAGTTCAAAACTCATTATGAATCTACATATATATATATATATAAAACAAATGTGCATAATATTTGTTTCTTTAACATGATATGGGTCAAATATACATATATATATATATATATATATGTATATATATGTCCGTGTTTATTTTTACTCATAAAAAAATGGTCTGCAGTCTGCAGATGTTGAGCTCATCGAGACTGTGGAACTGTGAGTTTAAAATGAACAACGAATGGGTTAAGTTCTCCAATTAAGTTCTTGTAATATACTGCTGTCTACTACCATCATTAAATATAATAATAAAATAAAGATCGGGAGAAAGAGAAGAGAAGGTAAAAGCGTGGCTTGATCCAACAGAAGGATTATTAACTTCCCCAAGCGTGGCGTGATTAACGAAATTAGTATCTTTTTAGGGCCCTTTTTTTTGTGGGTCTATAATAATACTGCTCTCTACACTAGTTTAGATATGGATAATTTGTCAGTGCTGACTGATGAGTAAATGCATACGTATGACTGAGCCAATTCGAGTCAGGCGGGCCTCACGCACCATCCGGTTCAATACTAGTAAATGGTAAATGCTTTATTTTCATCGTTTTAGCTGCAT